AATAAACTGTTCAACGAAATATCGTAGTCTAAATAAACTTTGACTTTCAAAACAAAATTTAATGCTGACTAAATTCAAAATAACATGGAAATTATAGTTAAGACCATTTTGCGGTTTAGTTTTTGGTTATTTTTAAAAAAGGGTTAATCTCGACCAGTTTGTCCGAAATTAAACACTTTGGTCCCTGGTTTTTGTTATCAACTTGTCATCCACTTTTTTTTATCTGCAATGACGCGTAAGTTTGAGTATCAGTCAAGAAATAATAATTTTACTGACCGTGGGATCGGTCATATTAATAACCTGTGTTAAGACAACGATAGATAATACATACATTACGAATACGAACCATTGTGGAAACTTATGAACTAATGTGAATCCTAGGAGATATTTATACAATTTTAAATTACGATTTATAACAATTCAATCTTGTTTTTCTTAGACGATATTTTTCTTTTTGATTTTTCTACGTCAGCATGCTCTCTTGTAATGGCTGTATCTTAGGTTGACCCGAAAAATGTAAGAACATCACATACACTAATATTATTAGGTTTCAAAAAAGCAAACAATTACAAATCCAACATTTTTCGCACAAGAATCATAGTGTGAGTGACAAATCAATACTCAAAACAAAATAATAATACTTTATATATGGTTTTTGTTTTTTAAACCATATGTTATAAGGGACTATACTAGAGAATCTCAAAGACTTGTGTTGAGGAGCTCTCTGTAGTCTTTACGAATCCCCCACAGAATCTCACTGCATTTTTTCATGCTTGGTCTCGAACCTCTATGAGGAGCTAAACACTGAAACGCCATCTCCAATACCTTCTCTAATGCTAAGTTGTTCGCTGGACTTCGTTCTAGCTTCGGATCCAATACCGATATCGAATCTCCATTCGTGAACTTCTTGATCGCCTGATCAAATCACAAACCATTTTATCGTATTATAAATGGATCAAACGCAAGTCATACTAGCTAAGGAATCAAGAAGCTAAGATGATAAATGTACTATCTCAACTTACCCATCTTATGGTGACGCGTTCTTTTTGTTCTCTGCTAAGCTCAATGGGACGCCGACCCGTGAGAATCTCGACAAGGAGTACACCGAACGAGTAGACGTCGCTTTTCACTGTGAGTTGATACGTTGTTAAGTACTCTGGGTCCAAATAACCCGCGGTTCCTTTGACTTGTGTTGAGACATGTGTAGCTCCTGATTCAGAGTCTGGAGCTAATCTTGCAAAACCGAAATCCGCAACCTTGGCTCTGAAATTCTCAGTGAGGAGAATGTTTGAAGCTTTTATATCTCTGTGGATGATAGGTGGCTCTATAGTACATACAAAAAATATGAGTTCAAAAGAAGAAGTCAGTAATGTGGTTTTAACAATTCACAATTGACTTACGTGTATACATGTGGAGATAGGTTATGGCATGAGCTACATCAGTTGCAATATCTAGCCGAGTTGCCATGTCGAGAATCTTTCCGTCCTTACCTACAAACAGATTCCGGTCAAGAACACTGATTTGAATTTGGTTGAGAACTATATGTAAAAGAAGAGAGAGAGAGAGTAGAGTTTACTCACAATCTAAATGATCTCTAAGAGTTCCATTGGGTACATATTCCACAATAAGAATCTTCTCGTCATTGTGAACCAAAAATCCATAATACCTAACCAGACTCAAATGTGTTACTTGAGCCAATGTCTGAATCTCACTCACAAACTCTGCACCTTGAGTGTCGCCGTGTGTACCCTGCATATACTCAAATCAAGAAGCAATGGTGAGTGTATTTGTATAGCAACATCAAAACAGGATTTTGTTTAGGATTCAGACCTTTTTGGCACGTTTGACTGCAACGATGGTGCCATCTCTAAGTTTAACCTTGTAAACAGTACCGAAACCTCCTTGTCCGATCCTGAAAGATGGAGAGAAGTTCTTGGTCGCGTCGTAGATTTCGTCGAAAGTGAATCTTGGATTCTCTGTTTCGTTTGCATTCCCATTATGATAATGCCTTTGGACACTTCCAGTTGAGCTACGTCTACTTCGAATATCATGTTCTGTTTCAGACAACAAATATTCATTCATCGGTACTATCCAAATCCAAGAATCATCTGATTAATTAAACTAACTAGCAATCGGCTCCAATCCAGAAATAGGAAAACAGAAATATTATTATCTCATATATGAATGAGACCTAAATCTGAAAGAGCCAAACCTGAAAAATTGGAGACTGTACCGGAATCGTCGAAGCCCTTGGAGGAGACGGAATCAGGAGGAGTGAAGCAATTGATGAAGAGACCGGAGATCCAGCGAGCGAAGGAGCTAGATTTGCCGGTGTCGGTAGGGGAAGAACGATCGGTGAGAGTTTTACTACTGTAAGAAGATGGTGTTGCAGGACAAGATCCGCCGCTTGAGCTATATCTCCGACGACCGTTCATCGGAAAAATCAATTCACGA